TTCAGTGTTTTTGCCCGTCATTGCTGACATTTCTAAATGGATATTTTAAAAGTCCTGTTAGGAGAGAAGATAAAGTTTTCTCCATTTTGTTGGTTTAGTTTGTATGGAGTTCCTTCCTTGTACAGTGACATACTGGTGCACGTTGGTTTCGAGGTATTGTTTCAAGGTGGCATCTGTGGTAAAAACTGCTGGCCCCGCAAAACTCCTTTGGGGCCGTGTTTAGGCTGTGGACTGTCACTGTCAGTGCCCGGAGGACTGCTGACCAGCGTGGAGACCCACTGCTGCCAGGGCCCAATTCTTCTAACGTCCCTCGTCTGGTCTTGTCGAGTCCCATTGCCACTTGCTATGTGACCTGGGCCCAGCGTGGATGGGAGATCACTGGGTTGTTCGTGAGTTAAATCAGCTGATGAGTAACTGCACTAAGTGATAGCTGTGTTATGCCTTTGGGGTATGGGGTGTACAGGACAATTCAACAGAGAGTTCATGGTGGCTTCCTTCTTGGGCCACCCACCTGGACCCAGGTCTCAGCAGGCTGCCCAGGGCATGGTCAATGAAACTTTGTGTCTATGTGAGCAGTTTCTGGTCTGATTGTGAGGTGTGAGTAGTTGTGTAGAATGAATTGCATGTAGAAATATTCTGAAATCTCTAATTCATTTGTTCTTCAAGCCAAGGCATTTGTTGTATTCAAAATTTTGTTTTCTTATGTTATGAAGTAATATAGTTTTCCTATTGAAATATTCTGAACTTTAAAAAATTGGCTAGTGTCCAGATGCTTTTCAGGCAGATTTTATATATTATAGAATGATTATTAGAAGGTCACATGAGCATTTTGATTATGACATTTTATTTTTAGCTTGTGATAATCTATATAGAACAAAACTAAGCTTTATAACAAGCCATGCCCCCTGCCACACCCCTTCCCCCCTCCTCACACTGTTCTGTGTGCTTGCTGATTGACCCTGGGGCCAGTCATTAGGGCTGTCACATTGGGGGCTGCAGTTTTAATGAACATTCCTTTGTTGTGCTTTACCTATCTACTAGAGGCTCGATGCATGAAATTCATGCAAGAGTAGGCCTTCACAGCCCCGGCTGCCTCGGCCCTTGCAGCCCCGGCTTTGTTCGGAAGGTCATTCGGATGCTTGTTCTGCTGTTTTATATCTATTATCCTATCTAATAAAAGAGAAACATGGTAATTAGCGTACGACCGCTACCCTTCCCATTTGCTAATCAGGGCGATATGCAAATTAACTGCCAGCCAAGATGGCGGCCGGCAGCCAGGCAGCTGGAAGCGAACATGAGGCTTGCTTGCTTCAGTGATGGAGGACTCCAACGTTCTTCGCCTGCCGCTGCCAGCCTCTGAGCTGCACTCTAAGCAACTATGTTACAAATATAGAAGCTAAACAAAACCCCAGAAACCTGCGTTAGTCGCCAGACTTTAGCCAGCAGGATCACAACATTGTTTCAAATACAGAAGGTAAACAAAGGCGAGAAACCTGCTTTCAGCAGCGGAGGCCTAAGAGCTGGAGCCAAGCCTCAGAGCTAAAGCTGGCCCAGAATAAAAAAAAAAAGAAAAAAAGGAGTGCTTGGGAGCTTCCGTCACCCGCCAGCCTGAAAACAGCCCTCAGCCCCTCACCCAGACTGGCCAGGCACTCCAGTGGGGACCCCCACCCTGAAAGGTGTGTGACCAGCTACAAACAGCCATCATCCCCTCACCCAGGCTGGCCAGGCACCCCAGTGGGGACCCGCACCCTGATCCAGGACACCCTTCAGGGCAAACCAGCCGGCCCCCACCCGTGCACCAGGCCTCTATCCTATATAGTAAAAGGGTAATATGCCTCCCAGCACCGGGATCAGCGGAGCCGTGAGGCCTCCTAGCACCGGGATCAGCGTGACAGGTGGCAGCGCCCAAACCCCCTGATCGCCCTGCGGCTCTGTGTGTGACAGGGGGCGGGGCCACAACCTCCCTATCGGCCCTGCTCTGTTCGTGACAGGGGAAGGCGCCCCAACCCCCTGATCAGCCCTGCTCTGTGCCTGATAGGGGGAGCTCCCCAACCCCATGATCGCCCTGCGGCTCTGTGTGTGACAGGGTGCGGCGCCCCAACCCCCTGATTGGCCCTGCTCTGTGTGTGACAGGGGACGGTGCCCCAACCCCCTGATCGGCCCTGCTCTGTGTGTGATGGGGTAGAGCCATAACCACCCCATCGGCCCTGCCCTGAGTGTGACAGTGGCGGCGCCCCAACCCCCTGATCGGCCCTGCTCTGTGGTTGATAGAGGGTGGCGCCCCAACCCCCTGATCCGCCCTGCTCTGTGTGTGACAGGGGGCGGTGCCCCAACTCCCCTATCGGCCCTACTCTGTGAGTGACGAGGGGAGCTCCTCAGCCCCCTGATCGGCCCTGCTATGTGCGTGACAGGGTATGGAGCCCCAACCCCCCTGATGGGCCCTGCTCTGCGCGTGACAGGGGGCAGCGCCCCAACCCCCTGATTGGCCCTGCTCTGTGTGTGACAGGGGGCAGCGCCCCAACCCCCTGATTGGCCCTGCTCTGTGAGTGACAGGGGGCAGCACCCCAACCCCCTGATTGGCCCTGCTCTGTGCGTGACAGGGGGTGGCTCCGCAACCTCCCCATCGACCCTGCCTTGAATGTGACGGGGCAGTGCCCCAACCCCCCAATCGGCCCTACCCTGAGCATGACTGAGGGTGGCATCGCAACCTCCCGATCCGCCCTGCTCTGTGCATGACAGGGGGCGGCGCCCCAACTCCCCAATCGGCCCTGCTCTGAGCCCGACCACGGGCTGCACCTAGGGATTGGGCCTGCCCTCTGCCACCCAGGAGCAGGCCTAAGCCAGCAGGTCATTATCTTCCGAGGGGTCCCAGACTGCGAGAGGGCACAGGCCAGGCTGAGGGCCCCCCTCCCCCGAGTGCACAAATTTTTGTGCACCAGGCCTCTAGTTATAGACATAAAACCCTAATATGCAAATCGACCAAATGGCAGAAGGAGCAGTGGAAGGACTGTTCACTATGACACGCACTGACCACTAGAGGGCAGACACTCAAAGCAGGAGCTGCCCCCAGCCCGCAGGCTCCAACTGGTGGCGGCTGAGGGTGGGGCCGGCGAACAGGCAGTGCCAGGCCAGCCGAGGCTGTGTGCGTGGGGTCCCCAATTGCCCAGCTGGTCGCCCCGCAGATTGGCCCTGATCGCCAGCCAGGCCTAGGGTCCCTACCTGTGCACAAATTTCGTGCACCAGGCCTCTAGTGTCACATAAAAGTGATGCCTTCTTTGCCATGTATCTTTAATAGTTGGGTACCTGCTCGATGATGGCTACTAGGTCCTATTCTCACAATTTATAATTAGTTATTAAAACAGACAATAATTACAGATCATGAGGAAGTGATACATGCCATGAAGGAAACAGCAGTGAGAATGGTGGGGTGAGGGGATGGTTGGGAAAGGCTGCATTAGGATAGTATTGCAGCCAAGACCTTCAGGATGAGGCGTCACATATAAACACCAGTCTACCATGGAGAAGGAGGGGCGGCGATCCAACAGGGTATGGAAGATACTTGTAATCCTTATACCTGACCAAGAGCTTGCATCTGGAACATGTACTGACTTCCTATAAGTCCGTAAGAAGTATCATGTAGAAAATGTTCAGATGATTTGACAAGGCATGCCACAAAAGATGTCACCCGTGGAGAGGTGCTTATCTTCATCGTTATCAGAGAGTGCACGCCAGACCTGCCGAGGTTCACTCTCTTACCTTTCAGAGGCTAACAGAGTGACTGAGTGTACCAAGTATGTCAAGGAGGGGGCCTGGGGTCTCCTGCAGGGTGGGTTCTCCTGTGACAGGATGTGTATCTATGGAAGATAGGAGGATTAGTGGGTCTTAAAACCTCTCCATCTGTCACATGGGTCAGTAAGAAAGGCAAGCCAGTGAAATGCTCTGCTAGCATGCCTGTGTCCAGCACTGATTTTAGAAGGTACTCTTAGCCCAGAGCTTTGCAGGGGAGGGCGAGTGAAGGGGCGTTGTCCCCATGGGGGCATTGTCTTATCTGCCAAAGGCTGTAGCTCTGGCTGCTCCAGGAGGATGCTTCTCACAAACCTCTTACATCTCATAAACTTCTCTTACATTGTGCCCTGTAGTGACCAAATGAGCAAAGAGTTTGTGAAATAATACCATTCATACCACATTCACTGCATTCTGTTCTGTTCCACTTTAGTGTTTAAAAAATGCTGCTTAAACCCACTAGATTGTTTTCCTAGTGGGTCACAACCCACAGTTTAAAAAAAAATGCTGTTTGAAATATCTCCTCATGCTGGCATTTCAGATACTCCATAATCTTCCCCATCTCTTGTCCTCACCCTATTTTTTACTACTTTGCCAAGTAAAGTTATTCCCCAAATAAATTTCAGTTAACTCCCTGTTCTCTGAGCTCACAAACCTGTTTCCTCTCTGGGGCCTGGGAGGTACCGTCTACTTCTGACTTGGCCTTGTGTGTCACCCAAGTCTTAGCTCCCTCCCACGAGCCTTCCCATGAGGAGGCTGGCCTCCCTGGGTGTTGCCACTTGGCACAGAATACCTTACATTTATTTATAAGTTATGAGTAACGTGATTCAGATAACACTTAACATTCTACTGCCTGACAATTGTCAATTAAATGTGGGTTTTTTTTATCTTGTTTCTCCAAGATAAAAGGGAATGTTGCATTTGTGTCTTTTGTATCTCGTGGCGCCAGCACATCCTAGACCATCTTGAAGCTGAGTGGTCGACATGGGCTAGGCACTTGCTTTCTCTTCCACAGTGAGTGGTTATCACCTACCTGTTGGAAATAGGCAGAAGGTGCTCCTGTGTAGGGTTCTCCTTAGAGATGGATTGTTGGGGGTGGCGAGATTAGTACAGCACAAGGGTTATTCTTGAGTCTGTCACACAGGCCCTTCTTATCATCGTGAGTATGTGTGGGAAGTAGTTGACACTAACAGTAATCATGTGCATTTTATGTTCAGCCATGTCAGTGGGAACAAAATTGGCTGGGAGAAGACAGGAAGCCACTCGGAGCCTCCAGCGCGGGAAGACCCAGGAGACCAAACAAAGGTAGTAGGTTCACGCCTCTCATTCTCTCGAGTCCTGGCTCTTTCAGCATGTGGTATTAGGAATTGTTTGAAAGTAAAACACTCTTTCTCTTTTTAAGTATATTGTGAGTAATACAGACATTGGCAGGGGGAAGGGCAATCACAGTCATATGGGGCAGGGGAAGGAGGCTGGTAGAAATCTGACCCTGTCTGCTGGCTGCCTAGTCTGGCCAAGCACTAGAGCTGTCCAGAGCCCGTCTCTTATAGCCGCGGTCACCAACCTTTCGGACCTCATGGACCACCGGTTGGCGAAGGCAATCTTATAGGGTCTTTGTGGGGATTAGGTGAGAAAGCATTGTGATGTCTATAGTAAAAATGAAAATAAACTACATTTCTCCTCTCCCCTTTTCCTGCTTCTAGCTATTAATGGTGATATATAGAAGTATCTTTTTAACTGCAAAGCCACATCTGTTCCTATAGGCAATCACTTAGATGACAAGGTCTCTGGCTGGAAAAGGCTTATTTACATACAAGGTGACAAAATATCAGAAATCCACTTAAAACTCAGAAATACTGTCACCGTGGAATGATTGTCCTATAAATAAGCTTCATGGATGCTTCTTGTTTACAAGCACCTTCCAGTGTGTCTGCATCCTGTGAAGCGGGGCCTGTGGGAAACACTCGGAGGTTTCCAGGCATTGCTCTTCTTACGACTAAGCGTGGCGCTTTGTGTTTTAAGGGGTAAAATTCAGCACTTAATTACATACCATTGTAAAGAATGCATTATTTTTTTTTCATAACAGAAAAATATGTATCTAGGGTGACATAGAATCAAACAATAAGCAGATTATTTCCAACATTTATTGTGAGAAAGAAAAAAATAATTTATTGTACAAATAATAATTGCTCTTGATAAATAATTCAGACTTTGCCAAAGTTTATAAAGAAAACTAAGAGCCCCCTCTGCCTTCCCTTCCCTTGGTCCCACTGCCTTGGGATGCTCTACTCTCATTCCTATTTATTTATACACATTCATTATTTTGGCAGGTGATTTTTACAGTCTGGGGAGTTTTCAACTAATAATATACCAGGCACAGATTTCTGTGTCAGTATATATAGATAGACTCACCCATTTTAGTGAAATTAGCTTGTTTTTTGCTTTAATTTTTCATAAACACCTTCCTGTGTGTAATTAATTTGGGGCTTTATAATGATCAAACCATTTGGGCTTTTGATTATTCTTTAGATACCAGCTGTGGTGGTGAAGAACACAGCTGAGTCAGGCCTAGATTTGAGTCCTAGTTCCACAAGTTACTGGTCACATAGCCATGGATAAATGACATGCTCTCTCTGAGCATTAGTTTCCTCATCTGTAGAGAGGACCGACCATGCCTACTTGGTGTTAGGCAGAGTCTGCAAGGAAAGTGTAAACGGAAATTCGCCACATGGGTTAGCAAGCCCAGAAAGCTACTGTCTCCCCACAGGGCACTCAAGGGAAAAGCTATGGTGCCCCCCGCCACCCCCAAACACAGGCAGGTGGGCATCCACTCACCTCTCCCTCTGTCCACACAGGGGTGGGTCAGTGCTCCCTCGTCTTCCGGTGGTGAAGGTGTTAATTGTGTCTCTAGACAGGACTCTGTGTCACAGGTGGACAGACAGCATGGCATGACCCTGTTTTCCTCTTTCACCCATTGCTCTGTAGGTAGAAGGTTCGTCCACTGCCTCTTCAGGCAGCCAGCTTGCTGAAGGAAAGGGAAGCCAGATTGGCACTGTCCAGCCAATTCCATGCCTCCTCTCCATGCCCACCAGGAACCACATGGACATCACCACCCCGCCTCTGCCCCCTGTTGCACCCGAGGTGCTGAGAGTAGCCGAGCACCGTCACAAGAAGGGGCTGATGTACCCGTACATCTTCCACGTCCTGACAAAGGTATGTGCAGTGGTCACTCCTGGGGTATGGCTGCTTGCTTAGGAACTGTTTTTCTATCTTACAAATTTTTTGAAACAGAATTCATTTTCCCCTTTCTAAACTTTTGAGTAAAAATAACAAAAATGTATACTTATAAATACAATAAAAAAACTTAGGAAAAGTCTCATTTTCTCCTTCAATGTAGTATAAAATATTTCTTAAACTTCTAATTAATGACACATCACATTATTTTCTGACTTGTAATTTTATTCTCTATTTCTAATTTCAAAATTTCTTACACTGCATTTGTGCCATAATGTCAGGTTTAATTCCATTGTCGAATATGGTTATCAGCCCCAGAAATGCCCCCTTGTGTGGGTGGCTGAGAAGACTTTGTGTATTTTGACTTGTTCTTCCATCTCATTGAGTATGATTTTTAAAGCACTTCTAGCAAAAAATGGAATACAGGGGTTGTAACATAATCGTAGTAAGAAAATGCAATTTATCTTTTTACATAGTGTAATAATTTCATGTTGTTAGTCTTATTAAATGCATGCTTAAATAGTTATTCAGTGTGGCATTAATTGGTTTTGATTCTTGGTGTCTTGAATGGATCTATGTGTATTTAAATTTCTTCAGTGATTTGTAGTCTTTATCTTGGTACTTATTATCACAGACTCATAGTTTAACAAGTTATCTTGGTGAGCAGACTTCTCATGTAGAATTTGTTTATTACTATATGTGTTTTTAATGTTTTCATCAGCATCTATACCACCGTGTATAATCAGACTTTTTTCTTTCTATTTTCTGCAATCCATCTGTGGTTTGTAAAAGGGAGGCAGCAAATGCAAAAGTTACTCCTGTTTCCAGCACCCCCAGCTGGGCTTCGATTGTTAACTAATTCAACATTGCTTATGTTTATAAACCGAAGACTATTTAGACCAGTACTATTTACTCAACTCTTTTAATTTATTTTTAAATTGTAATTGCCTCCAAATCTCAGCTATTATTTGATATGGGTATCCGTGTATTAAGTATCACTTTTGAAATTGTGATTGTAAAGTAAACATTTTATTTTTCAGGTTCAACATAAATTGTAAGGGTAAGTGAAAAGTTACTGTTGATGGATAAGCATTTTGCTAAGTTAAAGGGACCAAGGTTTTCAGAAGATTGTGCCCTTTCCCCTGGTGTTGTTTGGGATATAAAGTCCCTGGGCCCTGCTGTGTGTGCCCTGCCACGCTGGTGGGTATGGCTGGGCGATCTGTTAGATCAGTATGAGTGCTGCAAGCTGCTCATCTTCATTACTCACTGATTTCAAGGGCAAATTTTGATAAAAATGATTGTGGTTAAGAAAAGTAAACTTGACTGTCTTTTCTGATTTTAAAATGTCACCTAAAATTTTTCAGTGTATTAGGGAAAAGTTTAGGCTGGAAGGCCTGCTGCTTTCCGTGAGCTCACACCTCTGTTACCAAGTTGTCTACGCGGAGGCAGTCTCACTGCGATGAAGCTCTGTAGGAATGTAGAGTTTCAAAACCTCATTGTACTGAGGGAATTGGTACTCCCTAGGTGAGAGTGCTCGCCATGCTAGCATATAAAGGTTCTGAGGGCCAGGAGAAAGACCAATTCTGAAGTTAAAATGTGTGTGAAAGAAACAGCAACTGTTATGAAATTATTAAAAGAGATATATGAATAAATTTAGTAGACATTGAAGGTCATAAACATATTTTTCTGTTATAAATATATGTAAATAAAATTCCTTGCAAAATCTCTTGATGTACCTCAGTGCCATAAAATATCCAGGCTGGACCACAGAGTTTTTGCTTATGATCATAGTAGTCATTTGTCTCCTGGAGGCATGGTCCTGCACCACGGTGAAAGCCCTGCCCCGCTGGCCTGGGACTGTGAACAGAATGGGCGCCCTTCATGTTCTGTCCCAGCAGCTGTCATGCCCACTCACCCAGTGAGATATGTCTTTCAAGTACTGGCTGCACTAGGGTGGAGGCCTGCTACATGCCGAAAACTTTACAAATAAACAGCAGTACAGAGAGTTCTGTGTGGTAATTTTTTATGGAAGAAATTGGTAAAGAAAAATTGACCATTTTATATTCAGGATACTAGTTTCTTGGATTTCATGTAGGTCATTAAAAATTATGAATTCCATTACATATGACCATCCTGACTCTCATAAAATTTGCAAGTTCTCAGCATTTTCTATCCTATTTGCCATCTGATGTTTTCTGTCTAGATTGTTTCAAAGACTTTGGGATCAGTCATGTGGTTTTCTTTTGTTGTTGGTTCCAGATTGAAAATAAAACCGTGTAGATTTTATTTTGACTCTTTGAGCATATGTTTTGGCTACAACCTACTAAATGAACTCTCCCTAAAAATCTTGATGTAGACAAGTTGTGAAATAACTGATTTGGAATAGAATTGCAATGTCATTAACTGGAGATAATACAGTATATTTCTTTGAGTTTATTGTAAATTCAACATGAAAAATGTGCAATATTATTCTGCTTTCTTCCATGCAAAGGGTGAAATCAAAATTGCTGTTTCTATTGAAGATGAAGCCAGCAAAGACCTGCCTCCCGCCGCCCTGCTCTATAGGCCAGTTCGTCAGTATGTTTACGGAGTCCTGTTTAGCTTGGCAGAAAGCAGAAAGAAAACTGAGAGACTTGCTTTTAGAAAGAACAGACTTCCACCAGAATGTATGTACTGTAAAATCCATTGTTTGTTTTCCTCGGTTCCTCATAATCTCATGTGCATTTTCTAAAGCCTTAGAAGGATCATGACTGAGATCACCCTGAGTGCCCCCACGCAGCAAAGGTGGGCTTCATTTGGGCTCTTAGGAAAGGAGGACAACCACGAGCTTTTTCTCTCAGTAACATCTCAGTAATAGTGGTTATTTGGTAAAATGCTAAAACTGTAGGTTATGCCTTAAACTGATGTGCAAATGGCCCTGACAATCACTGTCCTGCTGTGGTTAGCATGTCTCAAGCGTGGTGACGGCAGTGTCTGCTCTGCAGAGGTCAGTGTTCCTGAGAGGTCCCACCAGCTGTGCGCTCACCACTTTGTGTGGTTGGTGTGTTGCTGCACGTAGCCCCGATGCCAAAGGGCACATGTGTGTGATGGTTTCCCTCAGATCCCAGCTGATCCACTCTGGGGTGGAGGGAGAAGTACAAAGACAAAAAGTATTATTTCAAACATTGGCAAACATTGAGGTCAAAGCGGTTTCTATCTTCTAGTAAAAGTGCCTTTTTGTTCTAGGTAATATTATCTACTAATAGCAAATATAAAGGTCATTGTATATTTAGTAGGCAATATAGAAAAGTTTTCCAAAATTTATAGTCTGAAATAAGAATATTATGAACTGTGAAGTTGTAGACTACAGTCTTGTCCACCTACTAAGGAGAAGTAGTGACAGATCACCTGCATGGGGCCAGGTCAGTGCAGACCTGGGGGATGGGTGTAGCTGACCCCCTCAGGGACGGGTGTACGAGTGGGGCTTACCTTTGGAATTTAACCACAGAGATTCTAGCAATGCTGAAAACTCAGGTCCATAGATTCTTAACTTGTCCTTGTTACTATGACAAAGTTATGATTTCTGTAAGCCTTTAAAATGAAGCATCTGGCTGTCACTACCCCTGCTTGAGGACAGCTGTGCTGAGAGTGGTGCTGGGCTGTTTGTGCGACTGTAGCTGGAAAAGGTGGTGCAGACCCCAAAGGGCCGCCTCTAGCTGCCTCGGTCAGGGCCAGTTTGTCAGCGGGCACTCTTTGTAGAGGCCCAGTATGCTCCTGATGTACGTTTTCTCACCTTGTACATACTCTCACCTTTTCCTTGCATCATGATTCATATGCTCAGAAAAGAAGGACCTTTCTTACTTTGCACAGGGTTGTTCAGTTTTCCATGCTGGCCTACCCAGGCCACCTGGCTCTGCTGTGAAACCCTTCCCTCCCCCTTTGGTTCTTTGCTGGGCCTAGAATGCATGTGCTACACAGAACCATGCAGGACTTCCTGCCATGTCCTCAGCACTGTATCACCATTTTGGTTTTCATGGGGAAAGGCTATTCTTATTTTTGTTTGTGTGTTCCAGGAACATAGTTCTTTATACAACAGAATTCTCAGCCGTTTTCAGTGATCTCAACCTGGGGTCCCTCAGGTGAATTCCAGGGCAGCTCCCCTTTGCAGTGTTCACAGCAGCCTGAATGTGGGTGGTGTGCTCACCCTCAGCAGTGGGCAGTGTGAGTCCTTCGCATCTGCTTTGTCCTTGCCCTCTAGTTCAGGAAGTTCTGTGTTGCAGTGAGCTGCAGGTACTCTCAGGAAATGAGTCTTAATCTCTTCTGCCGTGCTGCAGGTCTGCAGTTTAAAAATACTGGAATGCACAGCTAGCTACATGCAGCATGCTCCCTCCCTCCTCGTCAGTTCTTTTGTACCTGGTGTTGCAGGTGTCCTGCTGGCCTGGGAGAGGCTGTCCTGTTAGCAGACAGTAGGGGAAGCAGAGAGCAGGGCTAGGTATTCACTAATGGACTGGCATCCTCTGAGCATAAGCAAGAGAGAGGCAGTTTGTAGTGAAGGGCTGAGTGTGTAGACCACACCGCAGGGCCCAGCACTATCTCACAGAGAAATGCCAGGGTCAGCTTGCCGGCAGCAGGCCAGCTCTCTAGCTGGGGCAGGAGGGCCTTGGAATGGAGTGATCAGAGAAGAAGGGAGATGGGTGATACACTTGGGAAGACTCAGATGGGCTCTGTGAGACTCTAGATCGAGGGGGAGAGGCACCGGGGGATGCAAAGGAAAGGAAGAGGCAGGCACGCCAGCATTCCTCTTCAGACATGGCTGAGATGAGTGGAAGACGCCTTAGCTTCAGAGACAACTCAGTAGGCATCTCTCTTTCCTTTCCTTCTCGGTACCACTCCCCACCCCACTCCTCTGATTTGTTTTTAAGTGCAGGATATAGAGTCGTTTGTTATTGTTGTGTTACTTTTGGCCAATGGGAAGTACTGAGTGGGGAAAGAAGATGAATTTAGCAAAGAGAATAGAAGGAGGAGTGATGTTAGGGTTAGTTGGGAAGGGGGAGTGGGGTACTCGGGCTACCTTTCTTGAAGGCAAGAACTGGACTGAAATATGTCTGGTTTGGTTTGGGAAAGGGAGCCAGCTGTTACAAGGAAAAGGGCCTGGACTTCGGGGTGACACTGGAATGGGGTGTTCCTCTGTCACAGAAGGGCCAAGGCACCAAATGGCCAAGTGTAGTTCAAATTTAATACTTCTTAAATGGCGCGTTGGATATGTGTTTGTTAATGCTGTGTGTCCCTCTCCTTGGGGAGTGCCCAGCAGCAGTAAAAAAGTGAATGAGTAACTGATGCAAATACAGGGCTTGTTGGAATGGAGACCCAGAGTGTAGGGTATTGAGAGCGATGCTCGTGTGGACGGTGCATAGTCACTAAGGGTCTGGCAAAGGTCAGCTGAACACAGTGCAGTTTTTTCTGCTCAGGTGACTTAGGAACGTGGGTTTTGACTTTTCTGTGGGCAAGGAGGAGCCACTGAAGTTTGGGAAAGAGTGATATTTCTTTTTAGAAAGATGGGTTGGATAGGGACTGTGGCAGAGAGAAAACCTTGAAATGAGAAAGAAAGGCTGGTTTTGATGCCCCCTCTCTAGACAAAGCTGAATTAGCCTCTGGAAATTGAATGTTATCTAGAGAAATGTATTACTAAAGTGCTTTTACAAATAAAAATTTACCTCTGGAAAGATGTGTAAATTTGACCTGTGAATTTGCAAGTTGAGAGACCTTTTAGCTTATAAGTTTGGTGAGTGAAACATTCACAAGTGGCTTTAGAATCGTGGTCTTTTGGTGGAGCTGATAACATTGAACTTCTTTCATGCATTCGTTATGTTAATAAGGGGAAAACAGCCTGCAGAAAAGGCTTATATATAGTAATACACATCCACCAATCTCATAACTAGAACGTCACGTCTCCACGTGGTTGAATTTTGTCCGTGGAATCTTCTGTGCACTCTGCAACTCTCTGTCCTCTTTAGCAGTGTTAAGATTGCCTCCTAGGACTCTTCATTAGGTTCCCGCTGGCTCTAAACACTGATTCTGATGATGCCACAGCTTTAGGTGTCCATGCCTGGAACAGCTAAGTGACTGCACATTTTATGTTCTTAAGGAGAAAATGCTGTACGTTTCTTGGCACTCTGGATGAGAGGGGAAAATGACAGTGTCTGGTCATGCTGAAAGAGGTTGACCTTGAACAGTTTCTGGGGAGTTCTTGGTTGACAAGATTTCAAAGATGAGTCTGTTAAAGTCTTGTTTTACCTGCAATCATTCTTAGGTGAAATGAAGTCAGTGGGACTTTGCAGAAGATTCATAAACCATGTAAAAGTGCACCATGGGGTCTTGGGACAGATATGCTCCTCAAATACCTGCTGGCTTTGCCGTCCACTTTGGTGTCTGATAGCCAAAACCATGCTATGTGGGTTCCAGTGAATCTGCCTACTCACGTGGGGGATGCACCATTTTTGAAAATGAGGGCTTTGATCTAATACAGCTCAGAACGCTGTTCATGCAGGTGCATGTTGCTGTGTGGCCACTGTGACAGGCGTTTGCATGGAGGGTTGTCGTCAGAAAGAATTCGTTAAAGGGCGTATTGAGTCTGAAGGGTTGTTTAAAAATATTTAACTCTTACTAAATTTAAGACATATGTCCTTATGATTAATTGATCATAATCTATAATGAATTTTTGTGTGATTTATCAATGTTTCACTTTAAAGTCATTATATGGCTAACGTAGTTTATGTACAATCAGATCCTTAGAAAATTATAGCCTTTGAAAATCGTATTGTATTACATGCTGGCAGATTATTTTATATTGCTCTCTGTCCATCCCTAGGTTCTTTAATATTGATTTCAAGGAATACTTCAGAATATGTGTTTGTAATGGCAGTATGCTACCGAAGTCACTTTTGTGGAATTCCATGTCCCACTAATGGGGCCAGCAAAAGACTCCTGACCCCACACAAGCAGATTTGCCCACATGTGCTGGGTGGTGGCAGTGACAGCTGGAGGTGGCAGCTGTATGGTGGCAGTGGAGGATTTGGGACCAGGAAGCTGCTTCTAGAGCTGCTAGAATAAAGGCTGTCTGGAGACAGGTATGGTCTCAGCCAGCCCTGGCCTACAGGCCTTTTGTATGTGAAATCAGGTGAGGGAGCTGGTTCTAAGACATGCTCCTGCCCTGGAGGCAGCTCTGGCCTTTGCTGCCCTGTGGCTCTTTTTCCTAGGGGCACTACTCAGCCTCTGGGCTCGGGTTCCCAGCATGCTCCCCAAGGGTGAATGGAAGGGACCAGAAGAAAGGGCTCAGGCGCTAAAAAGATGGTAGGACAGCTCGGCAGGTGTTGCTCAGTGGTTGAGCATCCACTCATGAAACGAGGTCACTGGTTTGATTCCCGTCAGGGCACATACCCGGGTTGCTGGCTTAATTCCCAGTATAGGGGGTGTGCAGGAGGCAGCCAGTGGATGATTCTCTCTCATCGCTGATTTTCTATTCCCTCTCCCTTCCGCTCTCTCTAAAAAATCAATTAAAACATTAAATAAATAAAAAGACAGCAGGACAATGAGTTGCCTCAGCTATCGTAGAAGAATTAAAAATCAGGAAATAAAGCTCAGGGAGTTGCACGTTTTAAAATTATTGTCCTCTTTACAAAACTGACCTTTTTGTTTGTAATAAGTCTCCCCAGTACCTCAAAATTAAGTAAGTAAAAGAAACAGACTTGTAGACAGTAGATGGACATAAATTATAAACATGAGGTGAATTTATATTAATAGGAAGCAAGTTAAAATATGAGTACTATTCTTATAAAGGATTTATCCATATTCTTTACTTTTTAAACTGTCAAGAAAAGCCAAAGAGAACATTGGTTTTTCCCTTTTTTTGCTTTGGAAATTTTGTGTCAAATAATTGAGACTGCTGTTAAAAATAATTAAATTTGTCCACTGTGGATTGTATTACAAACAGTACTTCAAATGACCACTATTAGTGTACTTTTTAAAATATATATGAAGATTGCTTATATCTGTTCATCTGAATTTCTTTATTCCACAAAGCTTTCTAGAATTAGCATTAGCGAACTGCCTCTTCCTCTCAGAACTTTGAACAGCCGCGCTCCAGAGATATGGGAAGCCACTCTCGGATTAATATTTACGTCAGAGGCCCTTGAACTTGAGTTAATATACTAGGAATGATATTACTGGGGAAAGGAAAGACTAGAATAGCATTTACTATGTGTCTCAAACACCATGTTTGTCCCTGTACCCGGTGGTCTACTGTACATGTATATTTTTATGGACCGAGGGCAGCCCTTAGCTTCAGACATAGAAAACTTGAAGGGAAAAAATCAGTCTTTTACCCCTGAGAGTCATGGAGGTGTGTGCACAGAGGTGTTGTCAGCATAAGGAGATGTAGAGCCATCTGGGCCTCCACCTGTGTACCGACTGCGGAAGTTAACCGGCACTTTTCCCAGTAGGAGGAAAGGAGCTGAGCTGTCATTGAACCGATGTTTTTGTTTCTGCCCTGATATGAAGAAACTGGAGTTTGTTTTTTATTTCTTTGTGTGGCTTTTTTTACCATAACCCCAGGAAAGCTCAGCAAGTTACAGACTCCACCCCAAATACACAAAGCATGCACAGACACACCCATGTGTGCACACATGCACACACAGACACAGACCAAAGATCCAGGTGGTCGCAGTCTTGGAAGTCCTCTGTCCCCTCCTTTTTCTCTCTCCTGTAACCACTTTGTGTACAGGCCAAACTGTCACTCCTTAGCCCCCAGCCGGCACTGGTGTTGGTCACTGTCCTGGCACTGAGTTTAGAGACGTACTTCATTATGTTGCCCTATAGGCAGCTCCTACAAGTCAGCTGGAATTGGCTTACAAAATGGAACATGTTCGTTATTTCTGGTCTGGAACGGATTTCAAAATCAGCATCATAACAGATTTTCCAAGGTAGAGGATGACTAATGTCTGGAGGTAAACATTTACTAAGAGGTGAAGTATAACAGTGTGTTATCTACTGAAATTTTATTTGCAGGAGGTACTTTCCATAATGAAAGTACATTATAAATTTAGCTTCTGGTGGCAAGAAGACGAGTTGTTTCGAATGTAAAAATTCGATTTAGTGTAAGGTAAGGAAGATGATCTAACATTGTTTTTTACCTTGCAATTGTCAGCTTTTCTGTCAGTAGTGAAGACAAGATGAAGTTTTGTTTACGATGACATAAGATTTTTCATGGCCAGCAGCTGGATCAGCCGACTGTTCTGCTTTAACAAGGCAGCATGAACCTGTCTTTCTAAAGTGTCGCCATCACACCACAGTGCTCTTGGCTAAGGCCCAGAATGTGCTCAGGGTGTTCTTGAAATCCATTGCCCAGTTCCATCCAGAGAATCCCTGCATACCCAGTGGTTTTGTAGAAATGATAAGAGCCCAGATGACTTGTTAGCTGGCCCCTTTGCATCTGCTTGTTTCTGTGAGCTGCCCTCCCTCCTGAACAGCAGTGCCTCAGGAAGAGGCCAGGAGCCGGAGGGGAGGAGGTGCTGTGTGTGCCAGCCACCCTGTGTTGGCATCTTAGAAAGCAGGGGCCGCCACATGTCAACCCCAAAATGGATGTTCCTTGGAATTCATTAATCTATAAAATACCAATCTTCAGTTAGTTAATCTAATGTACTGAGCCAGTTATTACCACATAAGGGTATAAGGTGCCCTTGTGTTTCTTCTTTGGGGTCTTGTTGCAGAGTGACTCATTGGCCCTTTTGTCATTCCTGGTTCCAGGTTTGAGGGTGGGGTGGCAGGGAAGTTGGTGCCCCAACCCTGGGTGCCTCACCTGCCTCACCCACGTTTTGGCCCTGTCCGGTAATTGGCCAAAGGTTCCCCAGCTATTAAGTGGTGGTATACACAAAAGATCTCTAAATGTTGAGTTGTTTAAAAACATATACACACGTGTTAAAAATAAAGCAAGCCAGGAACAGCTTTGCTTTGGAACAAAGCTTTGTGTTATTGCACATTTATTTTGTCTGATAAAGACATGTATTTCCGAAATTAGATTTGAGCCACTCTTGTCATGAATAGTGCAGCTAGACAACAAAAATGCATAGAAGGATGAGAGGACATTAATTCATCTGATACCTTCTTCACAGCTGCAGTCTCCCCCGCCCCATCCTGTGCTCCTGGCGGGCACTGACTGCATGTCCCCGCGAGGATTGGTCAGGCCTTTCACAAGCATCAGCCACGGTCCTGGGTGCTAGTGTGTAGAGAGGCTCACCTTTAGCCACTGCGAGGGGTGTGGGATCTGAGCACACAGCTTCATGTCAGGGAAACGCAGGCAAACTTCGGTCCCTCAGAGCTAGTGTGGACAGCTGGTCCAGGGCAACTTCAGAGAAGCCTCAAGGGGAACAGCCACTTGTAAGAGGCATCTCCAACCTCCACTTACCTTTGATGTGGGACTTGGAACATAAAGTAGGTAGAGGTGTAAGCATTCTGAATGTAAGAATGAAAATCCTCCACCAAAAATTCACTTCTAGAATGAAAACGACATAAAATAATAAAATGATGCTAAAAAATTAATAGAGACAAGAGCAAAGCTGACGAAAGGGAAGGAAGTGATGGAATGAAGATAGGTTTAATATGGATGCCTCTTGAGAAACTCAAAGGAGACTTCTGGCACTATATTCCGAGGTTCTTAAGATTTAGGAAATTCATGCTTTGCGTGCGTATGTGTTTTGGGGGAGGAGTGAGAGAGCCAAAGTAACTAGTTGTACAACCATAGATACAATCTAATCAATTCCTTTAAATAAATTTTTGCCACCAAAATGAAGGTATTACTTAGAAAAAAAATAGATTTGTGCATTTTATTCTTTTTTGGCATGAAAATGAATTTTGTGGTGTAACCTAATAGAAACTGGCGAATGGCTTATTTTGTAGGACCACATTCTGCTTGTGGGATATTGCAGGACTGCGGGGAAGGGGTGGCTAGATTGTGAGTCCGAGGACAGGGTCTGTTGGATGCTGGGAGCTTACTGGGTCTGTGTCTGGAACCTAAAAATATTGATGAACACAAAAATGCATATACTTTAATACATGTGTATCCCTGTTTTGACTTGATAGACTTTAAAATAAGCATTTTAAGTTTTCTTTTAAAATTTAAACATGAATATATTAAAATGTAAATGAATGGGACAAAACAGTAACTCTTTTGTAAGAGGAAAATGTTCTGGAACTACCTTGACTTGCACCTCTGTTCAGGGTGTGGCCCAGCACTTCTCTGCAGCATGGCCTCCACACGGCTGCCTGGGGCGAATGTGCTCAGCTTGCTTTCCCGGTGCTCACTCAGTGCGTGTGTCCAAGTACCAGACTCCTGGTGCTCTTCCTGACCGCTGACAAGATTCTTTCTCGCCTTACTCTGTTTAGACTTGGGATGGAGCTAGAGATGACCGTTAATTATTTAACTTTATCAGGATTTGGATTTCTTGGTCTCTCAGCTGCTGCAAGCATTACTTTAGGGAAAATGAGCCAAGGTGGGGTACTGTTACTTGGAAAGAATTGAGGTGTGAAAGATCTCATTAGATAGAATCATAGTGCCATCCTGGCTTCCATGTTGGCCGCTGGCAGCTCACTGGGCTCTGCTTTAGTTCTGATACTTAATGTTCCTTACAAAATGCACACCCAAACTTTACCATTGATTGTTAAGTCATAACACATTGCTCTGCAGTAGGCCTTGTCTTCATTGTATTCCCGCCATAGCTTTCCTTTCCTTTACTTGGAAATTATGTGGAAGAATGTACATATTTGTGTGTTTTAAGAATTAACGACATTAATAGTGGTAAAACAACTGCGGATAAAAGTCATTGTTTTGTGTTATATCAACTTGGAACGTCTTGCTTTTTTTGGAGTGAAAATGGAGCATTTTACACTTTGTCTTTAGTCTTGCTGAATAGAATTACTGCATACTGGTGTCACCTTGGATTTCTTAACATGAACTATTGCTTCTGCTTGCAGCCTTACTGGGCTTTCAGGGTCTCACTGCATGGTAGTTTGCTCTTGCTAATCCTTTAACATTTTGTTATCTTTGTTAAAGTAAGAGGTCCTTAAGTAAAGTGGCTACCAAATGTAAATTCTTTCTCAAATCTAATTAGTAGAAGTATTTATCTATGTAGAAAAAGATTAGCTATCTAACTTGGATTTTCCGTGGATTTCCATGATAATTACATACTTCTGTGAATTATGCCAGTTGTTATTAATAAAACTATTAATGGACTTTTATATTAAAACAAATTTCGACTAACATTTTTAATTTATATATATTATAGTTATATGGGGAAATCAAGTCATGATTTGATTGAGAAGAAGTTTATTGGTGGCTTCACTGAAAATGTAAATGAAGGATTAAAGTACATAGAGTAACAACAAATGTCTTAGACATGAGAACTGATGACTAGTGGCTTGCTAACTAGAGGATGTATTGTTACATGAGAGGTAACATCTTCAGGCTGTCACTACTAGAGCAGTTTACTTTTGTTAGGCTTAAAAGAGCTGAGACGGGGCATAAATGCTTCTCCTCTGATTTCCTTCTAGCGGTTTCACCAGTGATCATTAAGGAGTGGGCAGCTTACAAAGGGAAATCTCCGCAAACTCCAGAACTGGTGGAAGCTCTTGCCTTCAGGGAGTGGACCTGCCCCAACCTAAAGAGGCTCTGGCTGGGGAAGGCAGTGGAGGACAAGAACCGCAGGATGAGGGCCTTCCTGGCCTGCATGAGGTCAGACACTCCAGCCATGCTCAACCCAGCCAGCGTGCCCACTCATCTCACGGTGCTGTGCTGTGTCCTACGGTAGGTGTGGCACGGCTGCTCTGGCAGCTGCATGTCCTCCAGCAGATGATTGTACAATGCCTCTCAGAGACCTGTGTATGAAATAGAGGGGGGGAGGCGTGGATTTTATTCTAGGTGAACTGGGTTATCTGTTGAAATTCATCCATATCTCATATTTACATATAACTACAGAAATATAGGCCATGTAAATGCAATGTGGATTTGAATTTATGTTGTACAGTGGGGCCTTGACTTATGAGTTTAATTCATTCTGTGACGGAGCTCATAACTCAAATTACTCGTATGTCAAATCAAAAAGTGAACGAGTGAGACACGTGATGCTGGGCTGATGTTGCGGTGTTCACTGTGACGTTTGCTGCACCACCTAGTGTTGGGGTATCTGAAGCTGGCTCATAACCCGAATTTTAGCTCGCAACTCAAAGCAAAAAATCGGCTGAGAGACGGCTCGTATCTTGAAAAACTCGTTATATGAGACACGTAAGTCAAGGTCCCACTGTATAATATGTTTACAGAATAGTTATATTTGGTGAACACGTGCTTTATCCTATCTAATAAAAGAGTAATATGCAAATTAACCGTCACACTCTTGCTCCACATTCCATCAGTCCATCACAAAGATGGCGGCGGCCACGGAGCTGGAGTGAGCAGGAGGCTTGGTTGCCCCCGGCGATGGAGGAAGCCAAGCTTCCCGCCTGCCCTGGCCGGCCCTGAGCTCCGCTCAAGGCTACAAAGTTTGAATTATAGAAGATAAATAAATGCCAGATACCTGCTTCCAGCTGGCCTGGCCTCCGCTCAAGGAGGGGCTGGGAACATGGGTTTCCAGGGGCAACCCAGGCTTCGAGTGGGACCAAGGCAAGAAAGTTTCAATTATAGAAGTTAAATAAATCCCAGATACCTGCTTCCAGCCAGTGGCCATGGCTAGCCTGAAAATGGCCCTCAGCCCCTCACCCAGACTGGCCACTCCCATGGGCTGAGGGTCCCCACTGTGGGGCTTGATCAGCCTGCAAACAGCCATCAGCCCCTCACCCAGGCTGGCCAGGCACCCCAGTAGGGACCCCCACCCTGAAGGGGGTGTGGCCAGCCTGAAAACAGCTCTCAGCCCCTCACCCAGGCTGGCCAGGCACCCCAGCGGGACCCCCACCCCCACCCTCATCCGGGACACCCTTCAGGGCAAACCAGCCAGCCCCCACCCATTCACCAGGCCTCTATCCAATGTAATAAAAGGGTAATATGCATGCCTTGACTGGTGTGGCTCAGTGGATAGAGTGTCGGCCTGCAGACTCAAGGGTCCCAGGTTCGATTCCGGTCAAGGGTATGTACCTTGGTTGCGGGCACATACCTAGTAGGGAGTGTGCAGGAGGCAGCTGATTGATGTCTCTCTCTCTCATTGATGTTTCTAACTCTCTATCCCTCACCCTTCTTCTCTGTAAAAAATCAATAAAATATATATATTTTTTAAAAGGGTGATATGCAAATTGACCCTAACAGCAGAACAACTGGGAATGACTGGTCACAATGACATACACTGACCAGCAGGGGGCTCAGTTCAGGAGATGCCCCCTTGTGGTCAGTGTGCTCCCACAGGGGGAGCTCTGCTCAGCCACAAGCCAGGCTGATGGCTGCCAGCACAGTGGTGGTGGTGGGAGCCTCTCCCACCTCCTCAGCAGCGCTAAGGATGTCCGACTGCAGCTTTGGCCTGCTCCCTGCTGGCAATTGGACATCCCCTGAGGGCTCCTGGGCTGCCAGAGGGATGTCTGACTGCCTGCTTAGGCCCAATCCCCCCCCCCCCCCCCCCCGGGGAGTGGGCCTAAGCCAGCAGGTGGACATCCCCCGAGGGGTCCCAGACTGCGAGAAGGCACAGGCAGGGCTGAGGGACCCCCCCCCCCACCCCCCCGAGTGCACAAATTTTTGTGCACTGGGCCTCTAGTCTCTATATATAAAGGCCTAAGGGACCAGCCAACTGGCTGACGGCCGGTAGCTATGACGTGCACTGACCACCAGAGGGCAGATGCTCAATGCAGGAGCTGTTTGTGACAGCAACTTTGCAGAGTGCCCTCTCGCACTCTGAGATCCCTTGGGGGATGTCGGACTTATAGTTTCGGCCCAATCCCTGCAGGCCAGGCAGAGGGACCCCCACCTGCCAGAGGGACCCTGCTAACTCCACAGATGCCTTTCGAGCCCCGGCACTGTCCCAGGTGCTGCTGGCCAGGGAGGAATGGTGAGAGGTTGGCTCTAGGGTGTGTCCAGCCTGTCTTGCCCAGTCCCGCCCCACTGGCCACCTTCTAATTAATTTCCTTTCAATGTGCACAAATTCGTGCAGCGGGCCTCTAGTGTAAATATAATGATTTTAAACAATTTAGTTTTTAAATATTAAAGATTTTGAAAGCAATCAGGGAAGATTGTATTATACTAGAGGCCCGGTGCATGAAATTTGTGTATGGGTAGGGTCCATAGGCCTGGCCAGTGATCAGGGCCGATCTGTGGGGCGACTGGCAGGGAGATCGGGGGGCACCCGTCTTGGGCAGCCTGGCGCCGCCTGCTCACTGACCCTGCCCCCCACTACCACTGCTGGTCGCCTCCCTTGGCGGGACGACTGGCGGGGCGATCAGGGGGCCCCTGCTGGCACCTGCCTTGGCTGGCCTGGGGCCTGCAGTCTGGGGCAGCTCATGAGTTGAGCATCTGCCCCCTGGTGGTCAGTGCACATTATAGCGACTGGTTGCTCCTCAATTTGGTTGATTTGCATATTAGGCTTTTATTATATAGGAGATTATTTGGGATTGTTCTATAAGGAAAATGTGTCTCTTCTTTCTGCTTTGTTTAACCATATGTATCAGTATGGACTTGGGGTTATCCAGTTTATTCCTAGCATTATAACTGATGTAGTGTCCTTGTTTATTTGATTACTCGGGCCTTGGGAGCTCATTCAGTGAGCTACAGTGTCCTTTGTAACCCTGGCATGTTCTTGTTTTTTGTGGTACCACATGATGCCTAGGCTCATGCGCATCTTCCCTGCCCTGGAACCTGCCTCTAAGGGGCCAGCTCCTCCTTGGAGAGAGCAGTTGAAAACCCAGACGTGGGCACTGTGTGGTTCTAGGTCAGGGGTGGGCAAACTTTTTGACTCGAGGGCCACAATGGGTTCTTAAACTGGACCGGAGGGCCGGAACAAAAGCATGGATGGAGTGTTTGTGTGAACTAATATAAATTCAAAGTAAACATCATTACATAAAAGGGTACGGTCTTTTTTTTCAGTAGTTTTATTCATTTCAAACGGACCAGATCCGGCCCGCGGGCCGTAGTTTGCCCACGGCTGTTCTAGGTCCTCTCGGTTGACGGGCCACAAATGCCTGTGTAGACACTGTTTGGCATTAATCTGAGTTGGCATGCATACCTGAGTCAGGTTTGTTAGTTTTTTAGTATGTTTTTCTTTTAACCAATTTAAAACTCAGGGAAAGTTCCAAGAGCATTTTTTTCTTTTTAACCCAGATACTACCTGAGTGTGATTTTCTAACAAACTAGGACACTTTCCTGTATAGTCACAATATAGCCATTGTACTCAGTCAGCATCTGCGCTTTATTTCTATCTTCATTTCAGACCCTCTCTTTGTGAAGCCCGTTGGTTTCCAGAGGGCGGAGCAGCTCTCCCTCTGCTACTCCTGGTTCCATGCAGGCTGTGCGTGTGCACTCTGGACGTGACGAAGGGGTGCCTGCGGGACATTTCCAGAGAGGTTCTATTCCATTTGTAACTGATACGTTTTTCACGGGAGGCACTTTGAAACTAATCATTCAGTGACTCTTGGTTTCTGTCTTCAGTAGCTTCTAGTCCACTGCCACCATCTTTTAATTTGGTGCTTTGTTGTCACCTACTGGGCCGTAGGGGCCTTGTCAGGCTGCCCTCCACAGTTGTCTTTGTCATTTTATGAGCCCTTCCTGACTTCTCTGCAGAGGTGCCCTGGTTGTTGTTGGTGGGGACGGTATTGGATCTCTTGTCCTCCTGGTCTGTTTACAGACACACAGACATCCACAGGCTTGTGGACTTCTGTTTGGCACCTCCAACCTGCCCACTTCAGTTTTCTCTCCCTAGGTGTGTGGCCTCTGACGCTGAGAGAGACAGACAGTAAAAGCCTGGGGCACAGCTTCCTTCCAAGCCCTAACCTGTCTTAGCCCCATGTGTCCTGCCCCTGAGCTGGCTCCTCCTCGTCCAGCTCCTGATCCCCTACTGGGTCGCACCTGCTTGACTGCTGACAGGGGACAGAGCTTTAGTCAGGTGTTTATTTCCTAAAGTTTCTTATATTCAGACTTTAAGGCCAGTAACTTACTTAGAAGCCTTTCCCTAATTAAATTGAGGTTGATTAAAATGAGCAGTTTCTTATCTTTATCTCCAATGAGAATGAACTAGTGAGAAAGACCATTTCTTTATTTGGTTTTTGAATCCCTGGTTTCCTCCGATGGAAAATTTATTTATAGACTGGTTTTTATCAGTAAAAACCACCTTATATGAATTAGCCAAAAATTTAAGATTAAGAGTGGCCTAAAATCAAATTAGCAATAATGAGCTTGGTTACTTTGTATTCCTCTCTTTGAAGTTTAAAATGATGTATGGCCTTTAGTCTAGTGGGGCAACCTACTTCCCACCATATACTTGACCTGAAAAGCCTGCTGGGCCAGGCTCATGGGGCTGCCCTTGAACACAGTGGCCATGCATTAGCGTAGGGTTAGCTGCTGGTGCTGGGAGTGCAGCATTCATGTCGTTAATGTGGTGGTGCTTTGTGTCTTGTCTGTTATGCATTCAGCCACGTGGGTCACTGGATTCTCGGACCTCTCTTCTCTTCATGTGATTGGTCCTCGTGGACCTTCATCTGCCATTACTCCAGAAAAGGCCTTCATAGAGTCTTCCTAGGTTTCAGGACTGTCCTGGTCCCTGCTTTTAAGACAGTGTTTATTGTAGTTTTTGTGTGTATGTGGTTGTTTATTAAAAAAATACTTATTTTAGACCTTGAAGAGGTTTATAATCTTGGGTCTGAACGAACCTCTGTGTCTGTTCGTGTGTGGCATCCAGAAGCTACAATGAGTGCAGTGCAGACGCCGTACTCCGGCAGAAGCCAGCTGACATGCTTGGGGTGAAGAGACTGTTGCGTGTGGAGTGGGTGCCTGGGACCAGGGAGTTTCTCGTTTGGGAAGACTGTTACAGATCCTGAGGAGGAGCAGCGTGTTAGATGAGGGATAGTGTCTCTCGGGACAAGTCCCAGGGCCTAGGACACCATAAATGGGTTGGTCCACTCCACTAAGAGAATCCATTCTACCTTCTGCATTTGAGGCCCCAGGACAGTAGCTGAAGGAGGCTACCCTGCATGGCCTCTATTTGGTCAGTGGATATAACCTGCGAATAACATGGGGATGGGCTGAGTAGTAGGTCTGAAGCCTTGGGGTAAAGAGTGGAAGGGAGGGTCGGAAGGGGGTGCTGGACAAAGACAAGTAATAGGGTTGGTAACAGGACGAGGAGTAAGAGCCGCTTGAGAACTGGCTGTGGGCTCAGGCTGGCAGCCCAGTGGTCCTTCTCTGGGGGCATTGCAGCTGCGGGCAGGGAGAGGGCAAAGCCTGCATCCTGGACAAGGTGAGTCCCTGTGGCGTGACCCTTGGCCTTGATAGCTGGGGTGGGACAAAGGTCATTGATCCCAAGGCCAGGCTGTCATCCACAAAGACTTCTTTCCTTTCTTTGATCTTTTTTCCCCCATAATTTCTAACTAGAAGAAATTGTGAGATGAATACAAAGAGCTCGTCGCTGTCCTTTACCAGGTTCCCCACACACTAATGTTCTACTGCAGTTGCTTTTTGCTCCTCTCTGTGTTTGTCCTCAGTCCCTTGAATGTAAGTTGTGGGCATGATGTCCCTTTATCTTAAGCTCTTCAGTCTGTGTTTCCTAAAAACGAGGACATTATCAAAATTAGAAAAATAGTACTGGTACATCTTCCGTACCGATCTCACTCAGATTTTGCCATTTGTTCTAATAGCATCTATTAGCAGCAGAAAATCTTGGCTCATGCTTGCATTCAGTTGTCATGTCTCCTCCAGTCACGACTGCTTCTTGTCTTCCTCTGGGTTGATGCAGAGACGTTTCTGAAGAGTGAGCCCTGGTTTTCTGCACACCCGGGGTCTGCGGACAGTCAGTCACCTCAGACGCACATGAACAAGTGGAAACAGTGTTGACACGCAGGTGGCAGCCCCCAGCTGCACTTTGTCAACCTCTGGGGAGGCTGCTTCTCAGTCTAGGTTTGTCCATGTTCCTTTAGGGTAGAATCCATTTCTGCATCTGGGGCAGGCACACCCTATCAGGGCGGTGGTGATCTCCTTGATACTTTCACTAGTGTCAGCATCCACATCTTACATATGTCCAATGTGATGTTAGGACAGCACTCTGGGGGATGGGGGGAGAACAGCAGGCAAATCCCTAGAATCCTTGTAACAGAGACCAGGAGGGGCCAGTGTTTGAGCAGAAGTTCAGCATGAGGGTGAAGCAAGTGTTCAGAACAGAACAGATGGCCTTTCCTGGGGTGCAGCCCAGAAAAATAGATGAGGTCCTGACCCAAGAGAGCTCACGTTCTCCTGAGCGGACAGACTGGGTTATGTCTTAAAAGAATCTAAATCAATAACCAAAATAAGATATGGAGGTCTTGAACCCCAAACAGAACCAGTGGAGCCTGTTCCAACACTTGAGGAGCACAGGCAGGGTCCAGCTCCCCCTTTCTGCCCTGGCACTCACACTTCTAAAGGGCAGTGAGAGGAGGGTGAGAAAAGGGAGCCGCAGATACCCTCATAACTCCAAGGTAGGAAACTTGAGACCCTAGGAGAAGGTGTGGAAAAAGAATGTCCAGAGAAAACTGAGCGACGTAAAGGGGCTGAGCACACTGTCAGTGTGCAGCTCGGAGAAGTGTGGACATAGGAGATGATGGAGGGTGCAGGTGCTGGCTGCTGCCAGGGTTGCCATTTGTGCCATCCTGGGGGGTGGTAAGCTATTTGTTTATTATGCTGCACATCTTTATGTCCATTTTATACTCTTCTGCATCCAGAAAGGCTTTCCCAGGACTCCCAGCGAGAAAGAAGTAAATGGTAACTCTGTCAAAATGTAAGAGGAAGCCAGATGGAGGAAATAGCAGATATTCTAACCAAAAAGACTATTTGTTGCTGCAGCTAACCTGAATTCTGGGAGTCTTTGCAGCCAGGAAAACCAGGAAAGATCTTGAGAAAACCAACCTGCCCCCAAGATATTTTTTTCCTGATTAATAATTTTTAAAGTAACATCAAGCCAAGGGCTAGGGAGTGGGGGAGTTCATGTTTCATAGGTTTGCAGATGAAAGGAGTTGTGGGGGTGGGTGGTGGGGATGGTCCCACAACACTAAATGTACTTAATACCACTGCACTGTCCACTTAAAAATGGTTAAAATGTTAAATTTTATGTTGTGTATTTTACCACAAGTTTAAAAAAATAAAAGGGATGTATAACATGGATACTTAGGCAAAGAACATTGGGCATTGGCACACAGTCTTTTCCACAGTAGTTTTTTCAGAGAAAAGTGGAGGGACTGTCTCCATATTTGCTGTTTCTTTTTCTGTGTTCCTGGGGACTGTAGGCACTCATCCTGAAGACTGTGGTTTTAATTCTCATTCTGGGCTTCCTTTCCACTTTCTGTACATTTCCCTCACTAAAGCTCATAAGACCATTGTATTTAATATTTGTGTCACTCAAACAATTGCAAAGGATGTTATTTTTGTCATTGCAAATGTTGACAGTTTAATGAAATAAAACTTTTACATTGTTCTTTAAAGTATATCTGATCAGCCCTGACCGGTTTGGCTCAGTGGATAGAGCGTCGGCCTGTGGACTCAAGGGTCCCTGGTTCGATTCTGGTCAAGGGCATGTACCTTGGTTGCAGGCACATACCCAGTAGGGAGTGTGCAGGAGGCAGCTGATCGATGTTTCTCTCTCATCGATGTTTCTAACTTTCTATCCCTCTCCCTTCCTCTCTGTAAAAAAATCAATAATATATATATATTTTTAAAAATGTATCTGATCAGATATAAATACCACAGAGATTTAACATCTACTATCTTTTACTTTGAAGTTCATTTACTTCCTACTAAGGCTATGTGATTTTACCATGAAGTATCTAAGCTCTGTGCTTCTATTTCTCCATCTCTCAGATGGGACAGTCATGGTTCCTCCTCTGAGTTTCTGTGACCATGTGAGGAGCCAGTGCATATAAATGATTAGACCAACGCCTGGCACCTAGTGAGCAGTGTTGGGATTTTTATTGAAAATATTTCTCTTAATGAACTGGATGGAACCTCTTCCTTCTCCCGTTAGTTCATGGTCCTGTGGTGAATATTAATTGTTATAAAAAAGAGATAGGGCTTTGTACCAACTGTGATTCTAGTTTTTGTTGACTTAGATGTTAAGCCCAAGAAAACTTCCCCAGCAGATGGGACTAAAAAGAGCTTTGTGAGGCATGTCATGCAGAGATGACATAGGGATCTATCACCAGAAGTTATTTTTAGTGATCAGCTGGCAACTTGATTAGGTCATCCTTTAAGTTTGCTGGATGCAGAGAATTAGAAACTGTTGGACTTGAACAGGACTTATGACCAAGTTCTTAGTGGTTAGCCCAGCCCCGGGCAAACTACGGCCCTCGGCCAGTTTGAAATGAATAAAACTACTGAAAAAAAAGACCGTACCCTTTTATGTAATGATGTTTACTTTGAATTTATATTAGTTCACACAAACACTCCATCCATGCTTTTGTTCCGGCCCTCCGGTCCAGTTTAAGAACCCATTGTGGCCCTCGAGTCAAAAAGTTTGCCCATCCCTGGGTTAGCCCTCAGGCTCTCAACACAAACGGGCATCTGCACTGCAAGGTGAATAAGGGGAAGAGGATTGGTTGGAAAAAAGGTAATGTGGACACCTGGTGGTTCTTAGGCAAATGGGAGTTGTCGATTTAGAAATTGCTTTCCCATCAGCTGCTCACATCAGGGTAGCCCCCAGTAAATCTGTGCTCGGGGACTGTAGGCGTGCATTCTGAAGACTGCAGTTTTAATTCTCGTCCTCGTCTTCCTTTTCACTTCGTCCCTGTCCATTCACCGGCCACTGCTGGATCCCCTTGTGCAGATGGTTCATGAGACACTTCATCAAGGGATTCATCTGTCTTATTTAGACCTAGGTTTGCCTCCTGGGTATCTCTGATTAAATAGATAAATCATAATATAAATTTGGTACATATTATGTGTTTTCAGGATTTAAATACTTAACAAAAGTGAAGTATATCAAAAATTACCAACCAGCTAGTTTGCAGTATGTATAAATTTAGTGTCATTTTCAATTACTCTAGAATGCTGATTGGCTAGGTGATGATTGGGTTTTGTAAATGGCATCATCACTGAAAATAGGAAAGCTGGGTAAGAAAGCTGTAGAAGCCTCCTTTGCTTATGTCCCCCGAACACCAGGTCATGCATGTGACTGGGGACCGCTGCATCCTAATTGCGGGCCCTCTCTGTCTGTCCATCCTGCAGGTATATGGTGCAGTGGCCTGGAGCACGGATACTGCGTCGTCAGGAGCTGGATGCCTTCCTGGCTCAGGCATTGTCCCCCAAACTCTACGAGCCTGATCAGCTGCAGGAGCTCAAGGTAACTGATACTTCCTTCCTCATCCTGGAGCCTTGCTCTGGAGTCAAGGGACAGCTCACCTCACCTGGCAGCTGAGTACATCAAACTAGTAATGCTCAGGAAGAGAACTCGAGAGCCTTCAGGGCAAAGGGAATTTCCTTCCCAGCTATTGAAATGGTCACGTCTGCTTTTGTCCGATTTTTTCCCTTGTATACCAATGGGTGTTTTATTCTTGTTTTCATATCATGAAATGAACTTGCCTTTTATTTCAGGTGGGGATCCCAAACCCTGGGAGGGAGGGCTTGGTCCTAAGAATTTCCTAACATCTGGCCAGGATCTTTTTCTTATTTCGTTCTGTTGTTCCTAATTACAACATTCGTTTTCTCTAAAAACAAAAACAAAAACCATAGTCTTTGTCCTCCTAGTATTGTAAATCCCTTTTAAAAAAACACTTGAAGAACAACGTTATATCATCATTCCTGTGCCCTTTTAGTCAGCATTTAACATCATATTCCTTTTAATTTTCCCTTCTAGTAATTCCTTTTATTCTTTGTTTTAATAATATTAGTTTTCTCCACGTTGTCACCTGATTTTTCAGTGTGCTTATCTTTTTAGTGCACTTTTATTAGTTGCTGTGTTCGCATGGCTATACTTGCTTTCTAATTTCTACATTAAATTTTAGAAAGTTCAAGACTTTTCAGAGTTAGCTAAATTAGTGAATCTGCCTTTTCTTTTTAATTCATAGGGTTTTGTTTTTTTCTTTGCTGTTGGTTATTTATTTATTTGTTTGTTTGTTTTACAAAATTTGATTTGTAATCAAGTAATCTCTTTTTATGAAATCGCCTTCACTTTTAGATCTTGTAGCCATTCTTTATGAAGGCGTTCTTTCCCTACAGAGGAGTTTTAGGCTCACTTTATAGATTTTTAGTGTTCTACAGTTGGGGCTCAATAAATTTCTGGTTTCCCTAAATTATTGAGTTAAATTCAGTAATTTGGTGTTGAGTGACCCTTGACTGTGGGGATCCCATGTCATTGTGGTCACCGTAGGCTTCTGATGACTTTGAAACAAGCTAAATAAGATAACAAACTTAGGAGAATCTACCTCAAATTGTATTCTTTACTTTGTAGATTAAGCTGTTCTGTTTGTTAGAAATTATTTCTAATGGTTTTGAATTTAAGTTTTTGTTCTAGAATATTTGGCCGGGTGTCCCCTGAGAGGCTGGTATTAAGCACAGGCTCTACCTCCTGTGTCCTAGAGTGTGGTGCCCCCACCACCATCTTCATCACCAGACTGCTCAGGGGTGTTGTAAATACTTTTACTAGAGTGTGGTGCCATCCCTCTACCTCTACTTCCTGTTTCTCTTATTTAGATTATTACATCAGTATTGACATCCCAGTTCTGAAAATCAGACCGCCAGGTATCAGGTATGCCCACCAAGCCTTATTCACCATCAAGTTGCTTTTACTCAAAGTTCATCTTTTCTTCCATATCCTTTTCATTTTTGGATCAACACATAGGATATAACTTTCGAAAGACAGTCACACTCTAAACTTTCATTTTGGTTCTTTTGAAGTCTTAGTGCTTTCATGGTTTTCTCCTGATTCTTCATCTAAAGCTAGGTTTCTAGAGCTGTGTTAGAAAGTGCAGGTACTTCACGCCCACCCCTGTCCCTTTGACTCTTCTGGTCTAGAGGTCTGTGTTCCCTTCACCAAGGGCAGCCTGAACGTTGGCACTCCGTTCATGAGTAGCATAGATTTTGAAAGAACCAGAAGGAAAAACAATAGCTGTCCTTGGGGGTAGAGGTAATTGGTTTTTTAAGATTGAAGATACCCTCAGCTATCAGATTGAGAACTGATAGGAATAATGATTATTTAAATGCTACAAAAATTCCAATGTAGAGCTGAGAGAGGGTCCTAAAATTCAGTGATAGAACAGTAAATTTTAAAACTTCTTTTTTGGTTAATCATTAAAAGTTGTTTTGATATATCAAAGTCAGTGACAGTGCTTTCCTATAAAAAGCCATTTCACTGTGTAGGATATAGTCAACTCTTGATATTTGGTGGTGTTTTAAGGGCCAGTATCCAGTTTGTGGATTGCCAGACCGTTTCTCTTCCACTTCTATCTATGTGCTTTGAGAATAAATAGGAAAAGAGAAAGAAAAGACCTAATTTTGACAATTTGGCCTCTGGTTGGCTTTTCTGGTGGGAGGTTGAGTCGGGAAATATGTTGAAACTATTAGTTAAAATGACTTTATAAGAGTTTCACCTGGTCTGTGCTCTGTCCGCCCCCTGCATCCTAAACATTTGAGTGTTCTGTGTGGCTCATTGAGGCCCTGGGGCCATGATGACCCCCTCACTTGTCTTTGGTATATTAGGTGCTTCTCCTAGGTTTCCAGTGTGGGTGAAACCACTAAGGCAGAGTCAGCACTGTTTGGAGGAGGGGCGGGGAAAAGGTGAGGAGAAGGACCTTTGCACAGTTTCAGTTTTTGACAAGTTTCTCCTTGCTCTTGACATCCCTATAATTGTCTTACATTCTAACAGTTTCACATGCCAAGTGCAAAATATAAAGATAGAGAATGAAGAGCTGTAAATACAGCGTATGGGCTGCAGCATGTCTGTGGTGCGTGTATGAGTTATTGTACATGTAGGTAAACAGGACCAGTCATAGTCAGAGTCTGCTGCCCAGTAATTAGAAATCAGACAAAGTTACTTTACTGGAATTTGGTTCTTGACCTAATTGGGCAGAGATTAAATTCCATACTGTATTTCCTATATAAAGTCAGAAAATGTTGTCAACATTTCTCAAGTTGAGGAACTTTGGATAATGTTCAATATTTTATCCTGGTTGGTATAAGAAATTGAGATTGGAGCGTGTGGTCAAGAGTTCAGATTCTGGTGCTGTTAGTTACCAGTATTGTGACCTTGAGCTCCTGTGGTTCAGTTTCTTCATCTATTAAATGGAGTACTAAGAGCAGCACCTGCATCATATGATTGTTGAGATGTAAATGAGGCAATACATGCAGAAATACTTAGAGCAGTGTCTGATACAAATTTATTAAGCTCCCCATAAATAGTAGATAGTATTCTTTGTATAATTAGCACTTAAGGACAGAAGTATAAACTGCTATGTAAAGTAATTTAAAAATTGCCATAGGCAAGATATACACAGCAACTGAGATTTTATTCCCATTATTTAGACAACTTTTATTCTAAGAATTTTTCTCTGATAAATTACTGGTAGTTGTTATTACTGAAACTAAGTGACTTGAAAATGATTTTTTAAATCCAGAAAAACAGTTTCTCAACTAATGGTGAGGCTATTTAAGATAAGAAATGTGTGTGGATAATGTAGGCTTCTCCATTCCTCTCATCAGCTCACAAGGAGATTACTCTCTCTAACTAGGGTGCCTCTGTGCTCCACACATCTTTCTTAGCCTCAACACTCAGATAAACATCTGCCCAGAGTGGTTTTGAGCTTTATTAGTCAAATAAGGGTTTGTTGTCAGTGTGACCAACACCACCAATGACAAAGACATGGGAGCAGCATCGTGCTTCCGCAGAAGGCTGCTGCTGGCACCTGCCTTAGCTGTTGTAGCCAGCAGACTTTCGAGCAGCACCAGCACATTGTTGCCTTTCCCTCCTCTTTGACCTGGCCCAGAGGCCATGGCCAGCAGGAAAGAGGAGGCCAGGCTGCTGCCTTGGCACATTCCCACAATGTCAGCTTTTAGGGAGGAGAAACCCGCTGTTACTGCCTTGAGACTCAGAGTTTCCACTTCCTATCCGCCCTCTCTGTCCCTACTTTCTACTCATAAACATAAAAATGCATCTAATTCCATCACCCTAACCCCACCTGTCCTCAACTGAACATGTTTAGTTCCCCTTTCCAGCATTGCATGGGAGAAGCAGGGGTCAGCAGAGTGGAGAGACTTCTCCAGGTTCAGGAAGTTCTGAACTGCATTGACTTAAAATTTAAAAAAAAAATAATAAAAAATATATTTCAATTAAAAAATGGTTGGAAAACATAATGTTAACTAATAATGGGGACTGATAGCACAAAATAGCAAATATTCATAAATTCATCAATATTTGGCACTAGAATGATCTTTTTTCTCTTTAATGAAAAGCCAGTTTACCTGCCACATTTAGGTATTGTTTAGGTTGAAACCCGTAAAGATGACATTCTTGAGACTCCTCCATGTGGGAAGACAGAAACCAGGACAGCTAAAACTCAGTCCCGGATAATCCACAAACTAGGTCCTTCACAGGCAGATAATCAAGAGTTGACTGTATTTGTCAGTGTTTCTCACCCTCACAGCAGCTGCTAGGAGAGAGAGCTGTGTGCGCACAGGAGGGCTCCCAGCGCTAATGACCCAGTGAGAAGAAGGGGAGACAGCCTCTAGATGCTGATAGTCTGCATGGTTCAGATACAGTGTTTTGTTGTGTTCTTTCATTTATAAGCTATCCATTTCTCCTAAAACATTTTGACAGTCTCATTAATAAGTTGCTATCTAAAACATTAACATATAAAATAATGTAAACAACGTACAAGTTTTAGAATGACATTATACCAAGTAATATTTTAATACAACTATTTGAAAAATGCATAATCTTGTTAGAATGTTCCCTTTTACAATCTTTCTGCTAATTCACTACCAGTATATAGAATCTGAAGTGTAAAAGTTTGATTTCATAAATGAATTGTGGGCTTCTTAACTGCTAAGGAGACTATTAATAATGTGTTACTTTATCATGTGTCAACCTTAAACATAGTATTATTTTACACTTGTATAATGCTTCACATGTCCAAATTGAAATGTTTCAGTATGTTTATAAAATAGTCTCTTAAATTTAAATGTTAACTAACATAAAAAGTCTTTGTGTTGAAACAGGCCAGTGGTAGGTCACTGTATGGTGTTGATTAACAGGTTTGCTTAGGGTGTCTCTTTGAGGGGTGTCCTGGTTAACCGTGAGAGTTGTAGTCAGACATTGTGACAACTTGGTAATGCAGTACTCTTACTCCATAGAAATCACTCTTTTCCATTTAAAGATTGAGAACCTCGACCCTCGAGGCATTCAGCTGTCAGCTCTCTTCATGAGTGGCGTGGACATGGCCCTGTTTGCAAACGACGCATGTGGCCAGCCCGTGCCCTGGGAACACTGCTGTCCTTGGATGTATTTTGATGGGAAGCTCTTCCAGTCCAAACTCCTTAAAGCAAGCCGGGAAAAGACCCCACTCATCGACCTCTGTGATGGTCAGGTCAGTTGCAGGAACGCAGTCTGGTGGAGGTGGGGAGGAACAGCTGTCTACCTTCAAACAGAGGGAAATACCACTCACTGTCTAATCAGTCGTCTTTCATACCAAATTTATGACCCCAGGTGACAGCATTCTGTTTTAGATTGTGTCCAGCCATGTGTGAGTTAATGTCAGTTCAGTGCTGAGCTCTGGATACACATTTACATTAGACTCTCATTAATCACCATAATTATGTTCTATGAATTTGCCTCAAACATTGAATTAGAAGATAGTGAATCTCACCTCATATGGGAAATGCACGGCGAGGTTCCTCTATTCCTCCAGTGACAACATCTTTGTCAACTGATAAGCATATAACCTTGTTTATGTGTGTTTCTATTTAAAAACATCTCAATGAATATATAGTTAATTCACTCACATTGAACTCAGGGCCAGTAGTGCTATAACTCAGCCTGAAATGAACAAAGCTCATCTAACACATGTATTTTCTCCATGAGGCATATCACAGCCTGGTACTTAGGAACACCGGTAGCACTCAGCACTGCGCTTGGGGCCAAGTCAGACAGCAGAATCACCCACAATAATTTTAAACACCACTGAGTAGATGGTGAACAGGACATTGTTCACAGTATAAAAGCTGAAACAAAACGGCAGAGTGTCATCTTCTTCAACCTCAACTTGAAACCCAAAGTGTCCCCTACTCTGCACATCTGTGAATGACCATGGGAATGCTCTGTGTTGATCTGGGATTGCAAGTACATTTTAGTAAGTAGGTGAATTCACAGATGTGTGGAGCTCATGAATAGTAAGGATTGACTGGGGGTTTTTTTGTGGGTTTTTTTTTTTAATTCTGGTTTAAAAATAAAGTGAAGTAGGTTATCAGGTTATTTGGTCCCATTGCCTAAAAGAGGCTCATACTCCGTTCAAGCCTTTAAACCTTAGACTATAAAAGATGCAATCTCTAAGGTCTGGTTTACTATGCAGTAAGCACATTTTCAAATTCTGGTTAAAGATTGGTTGTTCACAAGACACTCCAGTTGAATTTGTTGGCCGTTGAATGAGCTTTGTTTGGGCTGAGTTATAGCACTGAAGTCAATGGAATTTGACACACACAAGTTGTATATTCCACATCTGTGTAGGTTATGTTGTCTTCCATGATGTAATGAACATGAAATGATACAACAGTCATTCCACGGGCAGTCTTGCAGACAGGTCAGGTTCCGTCCTGAAGAGAGAGCTCCAGGCTTCTCTGAGGAGGCATCTGTCACTCTGTACCACAGTTGACTCTCTGTGATATGCAGTGAATACCTGACCTAATACTACAGAGAGGAGAGTCAACTGTAAAGATGTGAACTAGGCATCATCTACCCTGCGGTGCATGGGTGGAAAGAGGAAAACTGGGTGAGATGTCTTGACTTAGCCATTGATTTTGAGACCCAAATTTACAGTTTCATTAATAGCTATTGGGGTCAGTGGTTCTCACCTGAGGATCTGCTCAGATAGTAGAAATTCATTTTTATTTTTGAGATTAAGAGGTATTTTATTTTTTATTTATTTATTTTTTGCAATTTTGCTCTTGCGGTCATGTTTTCATTCTGCAAACAAGTACTACTGAGCAGACTCACTGTTTACAGATAAATAACTAGACATGGTATAGCAGCCTCTATGTCACTTCCTCCCTGTCCATTCTAATTCAGCTGGAACCTTGTAAGTCACATTTTCACATGCTGCGCTTGACTTGCAGGCTGAGCAAGCTGCCAAGGTAGAAAAGATGCGGCAGAGCATCCTGGAAGGGCTGAACTTCTCCCGGCAGAGCCTCCCGCTCCCCTTCCCACCGCCCTCGGCGCTGCCTTTCTACCCCACCTCTGTGTACCCGAGGCACTTCGGGCCTGTCCCCCAAGCTCAGGGCCGAGGGCGTGGCTTTGCAGGTGAGTAGGTCCCCCTCTGCAGGTAGGACTGTGCTGGTGTGGGAAGACAGAGGCACACACAGCTTGCAGGCCTTCGTGGGCCATATCTTGCCATGTTGAGACACTGTAATTAGCTGGCAGGCTTAGTTATGAAAGGAACAAGTGGATCCCAGAAGAGTTTCTGGGAAGGGGAAAAAGGGAGCTACGAAAGCTGTTGCAGTGATGAGATTTTAAAGATTTTTTCTCCTGTGAGGTCTCTACTAAGGCCTCCTCCTGGATACTGACTGGGCCACCAGATAGCGCCTGGGTGCAGGAGGCTCCTTCAGTATCGGAGGGAGTGACATGTCAGTGTTCTGGTGTTGACAAGAGGGTTGGCTGTTGAGGGTGTAAGAACAAAACCTAGGAAATGGGGGTCGCTTTGCCTGAAAACCCACCGGGGGCTCTCCCCTGAACCTGGTTCCTCACAGCTTCTCCCGTCTCTCTCCACCCGGGTCCCATAGGAGTCTGTGGCTTTGGAGGCCCCTATGGGGAAACTGTAGCAACAGGCGCCTACCGTGCCTTCCGCGTGGCGACGGCAGCAGGACACTGTGGAGCCTTCTCAGGCAGTGACGGCAGCAGGACTAGCAAGTCGCAGGGCGGTAATTATGCCATGCCTTCTAGAGCTTCTGCCCGCCAGCAGCTTCCCTGCTCCTCTGGCTCCTCTTCTGTCCTGACTCTAGCAGCACATTCTTTCCACGAGTCCCTCCCCCTGCATTTGTTTCTGCTCCTCTCCCAGCTCCTGTTTGCCCCCAGGTCCCTGCAGCAGCTTTGCTGTGGCCCATCCCTGTCTTCCTTCTGGGCTATCATGTGTCTATACACAGACTTAGTGTGCACCCAGTCCTCTAACCATCACTTCTTGTGATAGAACCGGCTGCCCAATAATACCCAGGGATGTGTCTTTCCTACCTTATTCCCCAACAGCCCATCTCGGTAAAGAGGATTATGCATGTATAGAAGATTCTAAGGCCACAATAGAATTCCTGGCATAAAAATTTAACACAGTTTGAAACATTTTAAAAGAAGCATCTGATATTAGATATATACTGGTAAATGAGTTTGTTTGTTTTAAATTCCCATTGCTTCTCTTATTTGTATTAGGCTTACAAGGGAGAAAAAAGTCTTAACATTTAGTTTTGAAATCATGTCTTGTGATTTTGCTGTAATATGAAGCCTGAGACTGGGGGCTTTGTCACAAATCCTGCTTTTCGAGACTGCAAATTTAAACCTGGCCATCAAGTCGACACTAGAGGGTTATTCACATACATTTTTAAGTAACTTTGAGGATAGGCAGGCCTCTCTCATTTAACCAGGAATGTTTTCCAGCTCAATTACTTGGGTGCTTACAGCAGTTTGTGAGAGAATTCTGGTGTAGCAGTGAGACTCTCACAGATGAATGCAGCCCCCTGTGTGGCCACAGGAGCATTTGTCCCTCCGCACTGGACCTGCATGCCCCTTTTCCTGCCTCCCCTGGGTTCTCCCGGCTGTCGGTGCTTTTTTCCTTCCTGTCCCTGTGCCATGCAGCACACAGTGAGGTGTGCTCTGGTTCACAGTTGGCTTCTGCTCCTCATGGCCCTGGACTGGAATCTCTTGCTAGCCTGCAGTCGGGGGATCATGGGGGTCAGGGGAACCTTAGGGTGAAATGACAAGAAGAGCCTGCCTCCTCACTTCTCCAAATTGTGTCTGGAACTCAGATCTGCACTGTCCAGTGTAGAGTCACTGGCCACCTGTGGCTCTCAAGCACTTGAGCTATGTTCTAAGTGAAAAATGTACTTTAAAGATTTAATATGGAAAAAACAAAGCAAATTATCTCATTAATAGTTTTTTATATTGATTACATGTTGAAATATTACTTTAGATATATTGAGATACAATAGATATTATTAATACTGATTTCATATATTTCTTTGTATTTTTGTAATGTGGCTAGTAGAAAATGTAAGGCTTATCATATATTTTGCTGGACAGCACTGCCTGGCTGCTAAATCACATGGCCAACACCTAGATGATGAGAGTTTATTACAGTCCATTCCATCTTCCAGAAAATAAGATGCTTGAGGTCCTGGTTTATTTTGTTTTTATCAGAAATTTTGCTAACGGTTAATTAATTATTTAAGAATGTTCTTAGGTAAGTCAGAAAACCTTAGAATATGCAGGCTACCAATAATTAATAGAAGTTAGTGCATACAGTGAATTTGTGACCCAGAATAAGGGAATTCTAATTTAACAATCCAATAAAAAAAATAACAGGCTCTGTTTACTGATTAATTTCCATAATGTTTGGTTAAAGTAGTAAACTTTGAAGTAATTATCCAAAAAGAAGATAATAGGTAGAAGCCGTGCCATCTGCAGCCAGGGCAGCACTTGATGGAATGCAGTTTGGTCTTGCACTCCTCAGTGGTAACCTATTTCGTTATCATGGGTCCTTTGAGGAGCCAACACATTTGTCTTACTGTCAGGTGTATTTGTAATAACAGCTACACCATTAAGATCAAACGATGTGATGTGACTTAGATAGTCCACAAGAAGCCTTCACAAAGCAAGTGGAAGGGCTTCGTGCAAAACATAAACCACAACTGAAAGGAAAATGCTTCCCTGTTTTTCTTTTTTCTTTGCCATTCTTAATCCTGGGATTTTTAAAGGGTTTTTGTTTTTTGTCTATTTTTTGTGTAGGAATCCAACCTATACCTTCTCAGGGAGGGAAGCTAGAAATAGCTGGCACCGTGGTCGGCCACTGGGCTGGGAGCAGACGGGGCCGCGGGGGCCGGGGGCCTTTCCCCCTACAGGTCGTTTCTGTTGGAGGACCAGCAAGAGGGTAAGTGCTGATCAATGAACATGTATTTATAGAAATTAAAAAACAGCCTCTTATTTGTTTTTCAGTTTACTAGAAACATTTTTATATCACTAAATACACTCTTTATTATTCATAGTGATTATATAGGATTGCATTATATATACCTTTATGTAACTATTTGTCAAATGATTATCCATACATTATTCAATTAGCCATTTATAAATGTTTAAAACAGTAGTATGTTTGAAACGTATTATTTTTTCAAATTGCATGCATTGGATATGAACCAAGAAAAATAAGATTTATTCCTTGGAATCAATCTTTGGCATGCCCATGATTTAATAAACTCAGTGCTTCCTATAGCATAAGATTAGACACCTTTAAATTCATCTGATATTATTTTAAATGGTTTAAGTGTTTTTTGTAACAGATTCAAGGCTTTCTGCTTTTGTCCTACTTATTCTTCAGGCGTCCAAGAGGAGTTATTTCCACCCCCGTGATCAGAACATTTGGAAGAGGTGGGAGGTACTATGGCAGAGGTTACAAAAACCAGGGTGCGATTCAGGTAATAACACGACATAATGCTGGTGGTGGTTACTCCCTAATGTCTGTCTTCCAGGCTAATGTTTTAGTGCCGGTATCCAGAGGGGCCGGGTGTTGTTGGGCTCCTTCTATGGAACATCTATCGTGATGGTGGCATGTGGTGCTCACCCCTGTACGTCCCTCAAATCATTTCCATTAGGTTTGTACTCAGGTGAACAGCTGCTTATAGGGATTTACGGCGAATAATCCAGGGCCCTTAATGGTGTTTATATTAGGAAACATTATTAGGTAAATAGCATTTAGGATTTAAAAAGGAAATCCTTACTGTCGGTGCTGGACAGGAGGTCTCTTTTTCTCCTTCTCCTGGACCATCTTGACTAACTTCTCATCCCACCCCTTGCTGGATGCTGTGCTGCTTAAAGGATAATCCCAAGAGGAAACAGGTCACGTGTTTGTCTTCAGGAAAGACTGGAACATGCTTCCGCTTTGGATGATAGGATCTGGATCCTGGTGAATTTCCTCTTGAGAATGATACCAGTCAGCTTTAACACCGTAGTATGTCGTCTCACTTCTTGAATTATGATATTTAATCACAGTGTACAGTTTATTCTGATGCCATTCGTGTAAACATTAAGAGGAGTGCACACTTGCCCTGGCTCACTGGATAGAATGTCGTCCTTCGGACTCAAGGGTCCTGGGTTCGATTATGGTCAAGGGCATGTACCTCGGTTGCGATCTTATTCCCTGGTCCTGATCGGGGCACATGAGGGAGGCAACTAATCAATGTGTCTGTCTCACATCGATGTTTCTCTCTGTCTTTCCCCCTCCTTTCTACTCTCTAAAAATCAATGGAAAAATACCCTCCGGTGAGGATTCGAGGATTAAAAAAAAAGGCGTGCACTCTTGTGACTAATATATTAATAACCCATATTTAGAAACTTAATTGGCCAACAGAAGATAAAACTGTCTTTACCAGGTGATCTTAGCACCTTGGCCACTTGTTTCAATGAAATACATCAAACAAATCAAGTACAGAGCCAGTCTCTTTCCTGAGGGTGGGACGCAGGCAGCCCCTTTGCAGCACAGCATCTAGCAAGGGGTGGGGCTTGGTTCCGTCGGCCTCTGCCTTCACACAGGTGCATTTTGAGCCAAAAGCACCCTCAGCCTCTCAGCCGGTCTAGGAGAGGGGCCACAGCCTTCCTGTGGCTCCAGCCCAGAGCTCTTCTGTGAAAATGGCCCTTGTGGTGCTCTTGTCCTCCTTAGTGGATGACAGGGCCTTTCCCGAGCTGGTAGTAGGGGCTGTCCACACGATGCTTATACACTAATATAAAACATACCTTGAGAACTTTCTTAGGTAAGTCAGAAAACATTAGAAAATGCAGGCTACCAGTTAGTTAATAGAAGTTAGTGCATACAGTGAACTTGTGACCCAGCATAAGGGAATTCTAGTTTAACAGTCCAATAAATTCTCAAAAACTGCACAAAACAGATGTGTAGCTTAATTAGTTATAAGGCAAATACTCATGTGCCATCACTATGTGATGAGTCGCATCACCAGCCATACTGAGAGCCCCTCACACCTTATCCCAAATCCTCCTTCCTCCCTCCACCCAAAATAATCACGACCCAGACCTGTTCTCTGTGGTTTTACTCTTGTGTGTTGTCTCTAGGCACAGTAGAGTTTTGTTCATTTTCTTTGGTTGCTGTTTCAGTCTCTCCCTTTCTTGTCCTTCACTTACTCTTGGAAGCACAGCCCAGGCATTCCATGACAGACTGGATTTGGCTGAGTGTACACGTACACTCCGTGCAGCTCTGCTTACTCTTTCTCATACGCCAGGAGCTGGGTCTGAGTGCTGCCTCGTTCTCGGGTTTATCCCACAGATGCCTGCTTTCGTGTCTGCTTGTCTATTTTTATGTATTGGACCTTCTTGGTACCTCAATGACTAGACCAGTGGTCAGCAAACTGTGGCCCCTTGAGTGTGGCTCTTGCACAAAATACCACGTGTGGGTGCACACGTACAGTGCGATTGAAACTTCGTGGCCACACTCAAGGGGCCAAAGAGATGCATGTGGCTCACGAGCCACAGTTTGCCAACCACTGAACTAGACCATTCATTCACTAGGGATTGCAGAACGAAGATGTGCTCAACCCATCATTTCTTTTTATTTATTTACTAGAGGCCCGGTGCACAAAAATTTGTGCACTTGTGGGGGAAGGAGGGCTCCCTCAGCCCGGCCTGTGCCCTCTCGCAGTCTGGGACCCCTCGGGAGATAACGCCCTGCTGACTTAGGCCTGCTCCCAGGTGGCAGAGGGCAGGCCCAATCCCTAGGTGCAGCCCCTGGTCGGGCTCAGAGCAGGGCCGATTGGGGAGTTGGGGCGCCGCCCCCTGTCATGCACAGAACAGGGCGGATCGGGAGGTTTCGATGCCACCCTCAGTCACGCTCAAGGTAGGGCCGATTGGGGGGTTGGGGCACTGCCCCCTGTCACACTCAAGGCAGGGTCAATGGGGAAGTTGCGGCGCCACCCCCTGTCACGCACAGAGCAGGGCCAATCAGGGGGTTGAGGCGCTGCCCCCTGTCACGCACAGAGCAGGGCCCATCAGGGGGGTTGGGGCTCCGTACCCTGTCATGCACAGAGCAGGGTCGATCAGGGGGTTGAGGAGCTCCCCCCTGTCACTCACAGAGTAGGGCCAATAGGGGAGTTGGGGCACCGCCCCCTGTCACACACAGAGCAGGGCCGATCAGGGGGTTGGGTCGCTGCCACTGTCACTCACACTCAGGGCAGGGCCGATGGGGAGGTTATGGCTCTATCCCATCACACACAGAGCAGGGCCCGTGGGGGGAGTGGGGGTTGGGGCGCCGCCCTCTATCACCCACAGAGCAGGGCCGATCAGGGGGTTGGAGCGCCGTACCCTGTCACACACAGAGCCGCAGGGCGATCAGGAGGTTGGGGAGCTCCCCCGTATCAGGCACAGAGCAGGGCTGATCAGAAGGTTGGGGCACCTTCCCCTGTCACGAACAGAGCAGGGCGGATAGGGAGGTTGTGGTCCCGCCCCCTATCACACACAGAGCCGCAGGGCGATCAGGGGGTTCGGGCGCTCCCCCCTGTCATGCTGATCCCGGTGCCGGGAGGCCTCATGGCTCCGCTGATCCCGGTGCTGGGAGGCATATTACCCTTTTACTATATAGGATAGAGGCCTGGTGCATGGGTGGGGCTGGCTGGTTTGCCCTGAAGGGTGTCCTGGATCAGGGTGCGGGTCCCCACTGGGGTGCCTGGCCAGCCTGGGTGAGGGGATGATGGCTGTTTGCAGCTGGTCACACCCCCTTCAGGGTGGGGGTGCCTGGCCATTCTGGGTGAGGGGCTGAGGGCCATTTTCAGTCTGGCCAAGCTCCCTGGCGATGGAAGCTCCCAGCCTCTCCTTTTAATCTTTTTTTTATTATTATTATTATCATTATGGGATTTATTTACCTTTCTGTAATTGAAACTTTGTAGCCTTGAGAGGAGCTCAGAGCCAGCCAGGGCGGGTGGGAGGGAAGCCTCCTGCTCACTCCAGCTCCATGGCCACGGCCGGCTGAAAGCAGGTATATGGGGTTTATTTACCTTCGATAATTGAAACTTTGTTGCTTAGAGTGGAGCTCAGAGCTGCCATGGCAGCTGGGAATCTTCGCTTCCTCCATCATTGGGGCAACCAAGCCTCCTGCTTGCTCCAGCTCTGTGGCTGCCGGCCACCATCTTGGTTGAGTTAATTTGCATATAGTCGCTCTGATTGGCTGGTGGGTGTGGCTTAAGGCGTAGCAAAGGTACAGTCAATTTGCATGTTTGTCTTTTGTTAGTGTAGATTCCATATTGTACACACTGGCAGCTCAATACATTAATACTGCCATCACCGACACCATCACTGAGGACAACTAAAATGTTGGCATATGTCCTATAATTCTTGCATTAAAAAAAAAAATAGTTGTGGTTATTGCCTGCATTGTTCAGCTTATAGCAGTGACCTGCTTCAATCTTCCTTTAGCCTCATCTGTCCAGGTTCCATACATCTGTGCATCCAGGACCCACAGCCTATGTCTGCAGGTCCATTTTGTCCCTCTGATGCTTTTTCTCTAGTATAGTCCTCAGTGAGGACTTAGGGAACAAATACTCAGTTTGAAAATACTAGTCATTGTTTTCCTAACATAGTGATACCTTGGAGATATTGTGGGGTTTTTTCTAGACCGCTACAATAAAGTGAGTACCGCAACAAAGAGATTTGTCATCTTTTTGCTGGGGGCGGGGGGGAGGTTGGGGGGGGGCGGGTCTTGCCTTCAGTTTGTAAAAATGAAACATAAAGTGAAGAGCTTAAAGCAGGGTATTCTGTTCTTGAAAACATTGACTCACATCTTGCTCCCCAAGTATCTTAAAGCATCTGTGGTGTCATTTTCTCCTGTTATAAAGCTTTGCTGTCAAAGACTGATAGTAATCTAATTGTCTTTCCCTTTAAAGCCATTTGCTGTTTTGGCTTAAATGTCCAAATGTTGTTTTTTCTGTCAAAGTTTAGTGATGTGTCCTGCTGCTGGTTGCTCTGGGTCCATGTGCTCAGTACAGGACAAGCTCTTTCAAACACAACTTTAAATCTTGATTTGCATCAGGAAGTTTTCTTGAATGACTAGTTTTTCATTTCTGTGCTTTTTCTTTGCTTTTTAAAATCTCTGGTGCTCCTGTTACCCTGGTTCTCAGGGTCCATCTTTAGTGTTTGTCACACTCTGGATTTTTTATCTTTTCCTTTATATATATATATATATATATCTCACAAAACATACAATTCACCTGTTTAAAGTGTACAATTCTCAATGTCAGGAAGTAGTTTATCATTCTAGGAAGAAACACATATTCATAAGCCAGTGGTTCTCAACCTTCTGGTCCTTTAAATACAGTTCCTCATGTTGTAACCCAACCATAAGATTATTTTCATTGCTACTTCATAACTGTAATGTTGCTACTGTGATGAATCATAATGTAAATATCTGATATGCAGGATG